GCAGCAGCTGAGATACGCCAGAAATGCTAATTCCCAATCAGGCCGGAGTGTGCCCTTACCCTTTCAGAAGAACTATACCTGGAAACTTTTAAGATCCCCAACACTAGGCTGAAAACTTTGTCCTTCAGAAAGCAGCAGGACATGCTAAGACCATTAAATGGGGAAAGGGCAGGCTCTTTCACAAACGGTCTTGGGAGAACTGGATATCCACATGCAAAAGAATGAAGTCTTACCTAACACCATCTACAAAAATCAATTCATAATAGATCAATGTAAGAGCTAAAACTATAAAATTCTTAAAAGAAAACATAGGGAAAAATCTTTATGATATTGGATTGGGCATTGATTTCCTGACACCAAAAGCACAGGCAATAAAAGAAAAAAAAGATAAATTGGAATTGATCAAAATTAAAAGCTTTTGTGCATCAAAGGACACTATCAACAGAGTGAATATGCAACTCACTGAATGTGAGAAAATATTTGCAAATCATATATCTGGTAAGAAGTTAATATCCAGCATATATAAAGAACTCCTAAATCTTGACAACAAAAAAAATCCAATTTTTTAAATGAACAAAGGACTTAAATAGACATTTCTCCAAAGAAGTTACACAAATGGCCAATAAGCACATGAAAAGATGCTCAACATCACTAATCATTAGGAAAATGCAAATCAAAACCGTAATGAGATACTACTTCATATCCATTAGGATGCCTAGTATCAAAAAAACACAGGAAATAGCAAGTGTTGGTGAAGATGTAGAGAAATGAACCTTTGTGCACTGTTGGTGAGAATGTGAAATGGTACAGTCACAATGGAAAACAGTATAGCAGTTCCTCAAAAAATTAAATTTAGAATTACCATATGATCCAGTAATTCCTCTTTTGGGTATATTGTACCCAAAAGAATTGAAAGCAGGAACTCGAACAGGTATTTGTACACACCTGTTCATATCAGTATTATTCACAATAGCCAAAAGAGAAAATAACCCAAGTATCCATGGCTGGATAAATAGATAAACAAAAAGTGGTATGTACATGAAGTGGAATAATAATATTCAGCTTTGAAAAGGAAGGACATTCTAATACGTGCTACAACATGGGTGAACCTTGAAAACATTATGCCAAGTGAAATAAGCCAGTCTCAAAAAGACAAAAACTGTGTGATTCCACTTGTATGAGGTACCTAGAGAGTCACATACATGGCAACAGAAAGTAGAACGGTTTGCCAGGGGCTAGGGGGAGGGGATGGGGAGTTATTTATTTAATGGGTGCACAGTTTCAGTTTGGGAAGATCAAAATGCCCTGAGGATGGATGGTGGTGTTGGTTGCACAACAGTGTGAATGTACTTAATGCCACTGGTCTGCACACTTAAAAATGATTAAGATGGTAAATTTTATGTTATGAGTATTTTACTACGATTAAAGGGGGAAAAGAGCAACAGGCAAAGAGGTGGGAAGACTGGACCGCCGGTTGACAGACTTGGGTTCCAGTGTCAGCTTCACCACCTCCCACCAGGGGAACTTTCTAGGCAGCTTGGTTCCCTCGTCCATACAATCAGCAGTTAGGTTAATTTATTCCTAAAGTCTCATCCACCTCTAAAATTCTGTTCAGGGTTCTACATCTATTTCTTGTGTCCCTACCATGTGGATTCAGCAGTGAACACAATAGATCAAGCCCTACGCTCCCAGAGTTTACATTCTACTGGGGAAGACAAACGTTAAGAACATACACACAGGTAGATATGTCGGATGGGAAAACAGTATCGAGTACCGTGACAGCAGGGTAAGGAGAGAGAGTGACAGAGTGCTGTGTCAGCTAAAGTGGCTAGGGGTCTCCTCTCCAAAGAGGTGGCATTTGAACAAAGACTAAACGAAGGGAGGAAGGAGCCATGGGAACATCTTGTTGGGGGTTTCTTAAGAGGTCATAATGTCTCTCTGGAAGGCCGAGGCAGGCGGATTGTTTGAGCTCAGGAATTCGAAACCAGCCTGAGCAAGAGCAAGACCCCGTCTCTACTAAAAATAGAAAGAAATTAATTGGAC